CATATTTTCTAGTTCATGCGTGTCATACGTTTATCTGTTTGACATGACTAGGCTGACAGGAGAGCAAAAATACCATTCTGGTCTGCTCACCGTGTCTGTACATTCAAAACGTTCACATCGCTCAGCACCTGCAGTGTTAACCATAGAAGAAATTGAACATCTATGTAGTATGTTCTAGAAAACATGTCATATGGCACATTGCTGTATGGTAAATCTGAGAAGCCATAGCTTTTTTAAGTTAATCGTATTGCTATGCTAATTGAGTAAAATTAAATGCTGGCTAATATTAAAAGTTATATTGCTGAGAATCTTGGCACCTGAAGGATGGAGGGAGAGGCAGGAAAAAGATTGGGTTTTAGAGATCAGGTTTGATTTCAGCATTCAGATAAAAAGGTGGTCATGGAAGGCTTTATACAGGCGTTTATGTAGGTGAAAGTATAAAGCTGAACCAGACCTGTTGTACCGCAAGCATTGTTGGAACCGGTCTGTTACAATCAAATTCCTAGCACGTAGGGTGCAACAGAACTTCAACATCTCAACATTCATTTTATTCTGTGGCATATGGAAGCTAAATTTTAATTCACGGGTATTGTCACAGAAGACCAAACATCAAAGCATGTTACAGTTTTAGATTTAAGCGTATGGATAATATAAAGAAATTAGCTTGCCAGAGTTTAGGTATTTTCAGTCCTGTAGTTCTACATGTATGCTAAGGTCCTCCTGACTAAACTCTCCAGAAACTCTTGTCACTATTTGTTATGAAGGAATGAAGAACATGAAAGCTAACAGTAAATCAGATGCTTGTCAGGTTAGGAAATAATCTTCTTGTTCAAACCTGTCTCTTTTTCAGAGAGTTATGTATCATCTAATTGACTTCTTCAAAGGCTAGTGCGCAACTGGTTTGGAATCACTGTTAGACAAGGCACAGTCTCTCCATCTATTTGCCAACATCCCTTTATTTTGCCTAGAAAATGTATTTAGGTGAAATTTGAAGACTAGAAATTTGAAGAAACTCTGTGGGTATTTGACAGCTTGAGTTATTCTCTAAATATGAGTAGATCTACAACTATGCAAGGTGTACAGTAGATCACATCTGTCAGGGAAGTGCTGAACCAATTGCATGTATATTGCCCAGACGGTCAGAGTGTGCACAGCTCATCCAGTGTAGTTCTGGATGCTTCAGACCTAATATGCATGGGCAGATCAGTTGTGCATTGTGCAATTGCACAGATGCAGCTGAATAACTTCAGACTCGCTCTGCATGTGGTTTACAGATGGTCCACGCACACAGATATATTGGGTGTGCTCTGGAATTATCTGGCTTACAACAATGTATACTACAAAGTATATATGAATATATTTTACCTGGGATAAACAGAATGATTCTCTTCTCACATGTTCCGAGTCCCCTATATTTTCCAAAATTTGAAATGTTTTGCCTACTGATACACTGCTCATAAGAAAGGCACTCAAACACAATCGGAGATGAGGAAAGAAAAAAAAAAATCTCGTTCACTCCAGAAGGAGAGTAGGAAAGAATGTGGTAAGAAATATATATTTTGTGTATTCTTGCATTCTTTCCTCTGTTGAATTACTAGTGCTATGCTAAAGAAAAAAAAAAAAAGTCGTTCATTTGGATTGTGCAAGCAATCTGTAGTTATTCAATTAATATTTAATAAATCGCTTGATAGAAATCAGAAGGATATCAGTTGATTAACTGGCCTGGTATCAATAATTATACATCCCCTACACAGATAAGTGAGAATAAATTCATCGATTATAATAAAGGAAATACAAACCTTTCAGTTAACCACTGTGATATGACAGATGAAAGTGATTTGGGATTAAGAGTGTATTGGATTCTGTATTTATTTAAGATTGACTTCTAAATTTGTAGAATACTTCTATTTGCAATTCTGAAGACTTATAATCGTGGAAATGCATGAAGGAAAATGTATCTGGAATATCATCCTCTAATCTGTTAAGTAGAGGATAAAAAGTATTTGATCTTCATAATGTCTCCTGAAACATTTTAAGTACAGCCTACGTCGATTTAGATACATCTAAAGGTATATATCTGGCTAGCTCCGTGTACATTTGACAGACCTGAGAACATTCTAGGATTAATTGTAGAAAAATAATGTAATGTTTCTTTCTACAGAAAAAGTGCAGGTACTAATAGAAAGGCCCACAGCATTTGCTGTTTTTAAACTCAGTATGTAAACACAGTAGCTGAATCAAATGTTTTTGCAACGTTAACTAATGGCTATGAAGTAGCTTGTTTCTGTGCACCTGCAGGCAAATCTTGCAGGCTTACCTCCTTGTTCTGCATGCCAGTTCAGGACACTCAGCTGGACTAAAAGATGATCCTGACAGAGCACCATAGGGTTTCACAGCTCATCTTTGCTGACTGCTTGCTGGCTGCCCATTTCCTTCCTCTACAAAACATGAGATTGCCCTCGCTGCTGTCCAGCACCTCCCTCCCACTGCGCCATGACTTGTTTGGCTTGCCGTGCCCTTGCTGCCCACCATGGCAGGGAACACTGAGTGCTGTGTACAGTGGGATTTTTGGACAATGAGAGAATTTTCAAAGGAAAAATGGCAAAGAGGAAAACCAGCCTCCTGGGTTTCACGGGGAGGAGGAGAGGGAAAGCCAAACATGGCTGTGTATTATATTATATATATAATATGTGTGTGTGTGTGTATATATATATTATATGGGGATTATACCTATGCTGGGAGAGGAGAGGCGAGGAGAGGCGAGGCGAGGCCTTCGGCCCTTCCTCTGTCAAACAAGCTGAGCAGAGAAGAAAGCCTGCCTCTCTCTCTTGAGTGTCTGCATTTCCACGAAGCCCGCAGAGCAAGTAGTATCCACCTACAGCTGTGGCATAGTGCTTAGTATGAGATCTGTTTCCCAAATTATGGTGCCACTTGTGGGGATCAGTTTGGGGATCAGCAAGGACAGTGGTGTGGCTAGTAGTTTTTTCCTCTTCTTTCCCAGTAGCCACAAGGTGTGACTGAACATTGAGAGATAATGTCAGAGTTTATAACTGTTCGGTAGTAAAGAGACTGAAGAGTCAATTCCCAGAAGTAAACAGAATCACGAAATGGGGAGCTGGGGGATGTCTGGTGGATGCTGTCTGTGTACAGGAAAAGAAGACTTTAAATCCTTGTTGGTTGAGGTACACTTTCTTATATCCTTTTTCCCCCTAATGGAGAGAGAACAGGATGATTCCGATTCCTTTCAGGATTAGAAAGAAGGGAAAGCTTTAGATAACTGTTTTTGTCATGAGTCTACACTCTGCATGGGTCAATATGTTGTGTTTTGATAGGTAGGAGATTAGCTTCCTTTAATTTTTTATAGTGACAAATCTGCCACCTCAACTCTTTAGAAGCCATTGCTCTGATTGTGGGTGATGATTCTATACATCCAGGTGAAAAATGTTTTTTTAATTTTTCTGAGAAATCACGGGGTTATAGAGCCCATAAGCACCTAGACCCCTCTTTCTTACTTTATCTATTATATACCACTACTCAATATGTATGTGTGATTAAGATGTTTGTGCTCACCCTGGCATCAATTATCTAGATGATTTAGGGTTTATTACTTAATATATTTTAGTGACCTTCTCTTTCATTTCCCAGCTATGTTTTTCTTTCTTCTCCTTTATTTCTCATCTAATTTCTTATTCTCCTTATTGACTTTTCCTTAATAGAAAGTTTAATCCTATTTATATTTGTTTCCCTTCATACTCCTTTCCCAGTATTCTGTTCTTTGACCTATTTTCCTATTTTTCTTTGTTTTCATCTCTGCATTTTTATACTGCTAATCTTCCAGTCTTCCTATTTTTTTAATTTTCACATGCTTCACTTTCTCCCCTAACTTTTTCTACATTCATTTATGGTCTCCTCTTGTTTCCATTTTTTGCTCTATTTTCCTCATCTTTTTCAGCTTCTTTCCATAATTCCTGGTTTTCTTTGTCGCCTTTTAATTTGTTTTAATGTTTCCCCCAAAACCATCTCTTGTATTCTTACTTTTCTCTCATTCCATATCTCTAGATTATTTCAATGAGTACTGACCTGCATTGACCCTTAAGTCTCCTGAAAGGCTGACTAATCATTTTGCAAGGACCCCAGCAATGGGTGGAGACTGCAAATACCTCATTACATTCAGGCATGAGGGATATATGCACCACTGTGTGCCCAAATACACATTTCATCTGTATGTCCGATGTCATCAGAAAATTATTCAGCAGCATGAAAGATGCCAGATCTGTAGTTTTAACAGGCCGCCTTTTTTTTTTCCTTATCCAGCTTATTTTCTCAGTTGCAATATATAAATAAATACATATATTAGAATACTTCCAGAATGATCCACTTGCAGCTATTGAATAAAGAACCATATCTACAGTAACAGTTAAATTGAAATAGAAATAGGCAATTATTCTTATTATTATCTAGAATAACTACCCATACAAAAACTTACTTGGAACCACTATTTTACTACCTCATAATATGCAGAGTTGATTTTTATTTGTTTAATAGAAATTCTGATTCTACAGTGCTTGTTTTCTGATAGTCTTGCTGAACTCAGTGGAGATTTCTGCATTAGGTCTGGTGAACTGTGCTATTTATAGTTACCAATATAATCCTGATTGATTCCGGAGGAATGTGAGGTGATTTTAAGATAATTAGAGTTATCAGGAAAGAATGTATCTGATTGTTCTTAAGTATCATGCTTTTGCTTATTTGGAGTAAAAGACCACTATAGTCCTTGGGTTGAGAAATTATTGAAGTTTATATAACTAGCATAAGAACCACGCAAGTGCCTCTTACGAAAGTCAAATCAGCAACTAAACTGCTTATTTTATTTTCCTTTACGTAACTTTCAATATTGTGTATTTGAACATTCCAACATAGCATAAACAAAAGCATTTAAAAATAAATGTATCTTTCTTGGTGATTTTAACATGTATGTTTGAATTTTATTTTCTGCTTTCTTTTAGTATTTTCCTATGCAGAAGAATAAATGGTAATTAAAATGTGCAGGATGAAAAGATGGAGCAGCCAGTGCTTGTACCACCAGGACCAGACAGCTTCCAATACTTCACTAGAGAGTCTCTTGCAGCTATTGAACAACGCATTGCTGCAGAAAAAGCTAAGAATTCTAAACAAGATCGTAAAGACGATGACGAAAATGGGCCAAAGCCAAACAGTGACTTGGAGGCAGGAAAAACACTTCCATTTATATATGGCGACATACCTCCAGGAATGGTGTCTGAGCCCTTGGAAGACATGGACCCCTATTACATCAATAAAAAAGTGAGTGTAATATCAATTCTGTTCATATGCCAGCATTTGGACTGCTTTATCAGGTTCATTTCATTTCTGTGCAGTGGGTAATATAGCTTGTTACTTCAGTCTGTTAACTGGCAGCCATGTAGGAAAAAGTCATTCTAATAATGTGGAAACAGTTGAGCATTGCTAAAAGGACTAGGTATACAACAAAAGCAGAAAATGTTTGATGCCAGTGATACATACACAGTCTACCTTCCAGAAAGTTAATAAATAGATATTTAATATCTTCTAGTTATAAAAAGTTGATTTAGCTAATGTTTGTTTTTAGAACACAGTTACCCTCATCTGCTCTTGGCACACTGGGCCTCCTGCTTTACATAAGGAGGAATTTTGCAATAATATTATTTTTAACATTAATCAAATTGGCAATAAAGGTAACATTATGACTGATTGTATAATATGGTTGTACAATGGATGTAGCAGGGTATAATAAATAAATAGCATGGAAATCTAGGCTTCTGTTCACTGCTCTCTAAAGCATTAGCAAAGTACCCACTGTCCTCTAGGGTACAGGACAGAATCCATCATTCTTAATGGTTACTAACATTTCATCCTAATTTATTCCTTTGATATAATTGAATTTATATCAAAGGAACATTTATATCAAAGCTGAAACATAGTATGTTGTCTTTGATTATAAGCAATATATAATACCTATACAAATGTGTGTATAGATAATAGATGACATACTTTTGCAAACTTTAAAAAAGTGAAGATATATTGAAACTGAGTACACCAACACACCGCACTTTCTCTAAGGTTCTTCAGATTTAAAACTGACAGCATGAACTAATGTGTAGTACATTTTGTTCCCAGAAATCTGCTTTAATAGCAAATTCTTAGGAAATGTATGGAACACATGGATAAGCAGAAAATATCATAAAGAGAGTGTAAAACTGATTTTAAATTTTCTGGTGGAACTGGCCTTGAACAGCTCTGGAATACTTTCAGGATGATTCTGTTGCACAGCCCATATAAAGCAGAATACCAGTTCATGGTTTATAGTGATAGCTAGCTTGGGTTATACTTTAATTATTAGATACTGTGATTATGAAAACTCTATAAATATCAAGACAGGAGTTATTTTGATTTTCACAAAGTGCTGTGTTCTGAGTGTCTTTTAGCTTGCTGAATTTCATGTGATTTATGAGTTCTGTTTTGACAAGAGAGAAAATACTATGTGAAAGAACAATATTTTTATCTTTATTATTTGATGCTTCTGAAAGAGCCTTTATCTGCCATTCATGGTGGATGAAGATTTATCTTTAAATCACAGTTCTACTTTTGCAAAGATAAAAGATGCATTTATATAAAAGCAGGCCTCATAGAGTTCTGTACTTATTGTGTCTGTTTATCATACAAAATCACACGTAATTATATCCCTACCTGCCCACAGCTCATCCTGGACCTTTAGAGTCAAATCAGTCAATCTTGTGTGTCTTACATTGAAAACAGATACACACTAGGTATGACCTACAGGTACGCTACTACCTTAGAAATTGAAGACCCTTTCAGTCCCTTCACAGATGAAGCTGAAAACTTACTACATCAGCCAGGTCTGATGATAGAGTTGCAAGAAATGGAGTGAAACCAGCTGAACATATTCAACTGTTGTGGTTTAACACCAGTTGGCAACTAAGCACCATGCAGCTGCTTGCTCACCCTCCCCTGCAGTGGGTGGGGGGGAGAATCGGGAAAAAAGTAAAACCCATGGATTGAGATAAAAGCAGTTTAATAGGACAGCAGAGGAAGAGAATGTAATAATAATGATAGAAGAATATACAAAACAAGTGATGCACAATGCAATTACTCACCACCTGCTGGTCGATGCCCAGCCAGTCCCCGAGCAGCGATCGCTGCCCTCCGGCCAACTCCCCCCAGTTTATATACTGAGCATGATATCATATGGTATGGAATAGCCCTTTCGCCAGTTTGTCCTAGCTGTGGCCCCTCCCAGCTTCTTGTGCACCCGGAAGAGCATGGGAAGTTAAAAAGTCCTTGATTAGTATAAACACTGCTTAGCAACAACTAAAACATCAGTGTGTTATCAACATTATTCTGATACTAAATTCAAAACATAGCGCTATACCAGCTACTAGGAAGAAAATTAACTCTATCCCAGCTGAAACCAGGACATCAACCAAGTTTCTGTTCTATTTGAAAGGAAGAATCTTTTTATTTGCACACTAAATAACTTCTACAGGCGAGTCACATACCCGCTGGGATTCTCTTCTTTGTGCTGAAGTCCACACATCCTCTCTATGCACGTGCTTTAATCTTCTACAGGACAGGACAGGAATAGAAACAGCCCTGTCAGTCCAAGACAAGACAAAGATTTCTCATCCACTGCAATTGTCTCCATTTTTTCTTCCTTCAGTAGGAGGAAAATAGACTTTCCTAACAGAACTCAAACATCTATTTCAATTTTACATAAGTAATTTGACTTTAAAATATCTAATTCCTAGATTTTCTTATCTAGCTGTATGTGAATTCTGGAAAGACTTTTATCTTGTTTTACTTGTCTTTTGAGAGTGTTGGTAGCAGTTAATGCTCCTGCAAGTCTCAGAAGGAGAAATAGTTTTGAGAGAAGTCTGAAGTGGAAGTGAACATCTCCAGGAAGACGTGAAGGACTCTTAATGCTCAATGCATTTACCTCTGTACCACTTAATATTTCAGCTTTGTCTTTACCTCCCTCTGAATTCCACCTTGTAAAGCCAAGGAGTTGATCAGCACACCCCATCCCAATGTAACGGCCTGACAACTGCTGCACAATGGTTAGGGATTTTATATTTCTGCCTGGGGAAGCATCTCTCTGAAATGATATCGATCTAATGAAAAGCACTAGAATGAAGGAAAATATTTATTTGCAAGAAAAGGTTAGGACAAGTGTATGGATTAGCAGATGCCACTGTTGCTTCAGACCTCTATTAAGATCTCTACAGACCTGATTTATTGACAGAAACTATATCAGTTTGGTTTACAAACTTTCAAATAGGGAATAGAAATGTTTACCTACAGCACTGATGGAATGATACTAATGAACATGGTCACAGTGTTTATTCAGGAAACCTGTACAAGAATTTTAGGAATACCTTTTTTATTCCAAATTTGGGTCATGAATGAAATCATCCATCTTTTTCCTCATCTGCAAGTATTGCATCCCACTTGCTGAGGGTTTTTTTCTTATTTTTGTAGCAAGATTGAACAAGTTCACTGTATTTGTGCATGCATTGAATGTTGAAACATCATGTAGAGTGTTTTACATTTAATCTTTGGGACTTTTTTCCTAAGCAATAAGTTTATGCATACCATGATTTGATACAGTTTAATACAGAATAAGACAGGAATAATAATAAATGTGTTGAGCTGGTGCAAGAGCCTTAATTTGTGGATAAGGTAGCCCTGAGATGAAAAGTTAAAAAGAGGAAAACCTGTTAAGAGAAACAAAAACATGTAGGTGTGCTAGCTTTATGGTTTTGTAACTGGGCAACCAAAGAGGACATATTCATGCCCAATATTAATCTGAAGTGGAAAGGAAAGGGAAAAAATTGACAACCACTGTTTGATGACAAAACAGCCCACTATGGCAAATTTACACACCTGATAGTATTATCGATTTACACTGTCTCACAGATAGCCTGAATACCAGCAACTGTACCCTTGAAACATAATTATTTTATTATAATATAATACAATACCGGTTCTTATATTCTTACGATTTTATTTTAATGAAATGCTGCTGACTGTGGTGGTCAATAACACTGGTCTTTAGAACTGTGAAGTTTAGCATCCTAAATGGTTGCAATGCTCTTTTTTCTTTTAATCCAAAATTGAGTAAAAATGAACATTTTTTGAGTTCCGCTTCTGTGTAAGTGCAAATCTGTGTGTTCCCAGTATAATAGTGACTGCCTGTTCATGCTCAGGCTGCCATCACAAAGGATCAAGGAGGTTCACATCACTGTCTATAGAGAAAGGATCAGCTGGAACCCCCTAAGATCTTGACCTGCAGGCATGCATCAAAATCTGGTCAACTTGGTTTCGTACTTTAAGGGCTGGCTATTTTCTCTTGAACCTAGGCCGCTACATGAAAGAGGAGGGAAAGAATAAGTGGAACTAAATGGGTCTTACTTCACTTTCCTTCTGCTATAATATAGATACAGCATTGTTGACTGCCACTCCATGCCCTGCCTCTTTCCAGAAGGATGTTGAATGGTATTTGTCAGAAAAGGTGCCTCCTTTTGTTGTGGCACTTGGTAATATCAGTCCCTAATCTGATCAAAAGCACTAGCTCCTGGGATTCCCAGACTTGTCTTGGGCTGCAGAAACAAAAAGATTCTGTAAAATTGCTTTACTTAACTTCATTACATCAGAAAAAGGTGAATGAAGCAATGATTTTAGATATTTTTGATAGTTGTAACTGAAAGAATTTTTAAGTGAAAAGTTCTAGCAAAGCAAAAAATTAAGGTGTTGCTAGAAAACATGATTTCGAAAGATATCCACGAAAACAAGAAATGCCAACTTCCAACATGCCGTGAATCTCTTGTTCCAGCTGCCCCTGCAGCTTTTCCCGAGAAGTTAAGGACCCACCTCAACAATGTGTCTTGCCTTTCAGAAGGTCCTATGAGGTTTTAGATGGTATTTATTTAACTGTAGGAAGTGGAAACGCAGTGGAGTAGCAGTCAGCCTGCTAACGTAACCTTCCAGAAACTACATTTAAAGCTAAGTGGGAGGAAGGAGAGGAGAAATAAGGTTTTGGGAACTCTGTCTCAAGAGGTTCTTGGAGACCGTATCTTTGTTCAGTGTGGACTCTTCTTCCCTCTTAGCTGCATCTTCTCAAAACACTCCTCTTCCTTCTTTGCCCTGCTAAGAATGCAGTTTTTGGGTTTATATCAAGTATGGCAGAAGTTACAGAACTGGCATTCAGGTTACAGATGCAAAAGCGGCAAATCAGGGACTTCTTTTTAGGGATTTCTTTGAATTTATATTCACACTTGAATACTTTGAGTGTGAACAGGTTTCCTGCCATTATAAAATGATTAAAGTACTTTATAAAACCTAAGCCCTGAAACGTATACATAATCCTTCATATACCAACATTAATCTTACAATTTGTTTAGAATTTATTTAGCTTTTCTCAGTGTATGCCTACTTTGTCCTGACAGCTTTGGGTACAATACTTCATGTTCATCCACACTGCCTACACATTGGCTTGCATCTGGGTTGAGACTGGAGTGAGATTATAGCAGGCTTACCAGGGAGGGAAGCTTACACAGGGACTGGATATCAGCTGTTGTCTGTATATTTTTATGAAAATTATTCTTCAGAGATAAGACACAATTTTAGTTCATGTTTAAGGCTAGAAGTCAGAGAACCAACAAAGTCATTCTGAAGGCTCCAGCCACAAAGATGCTTTAAGTGAAAAATTAAAACTGAGGTAGGGAATTTATGTCTTGTTGGTTCTGCTTATGCAGGGCAGCAGAAAGTAGAACAGCTAAAATAGCAGCAGCTTCCAACTGAAACTGGAGCTGTGCCAGCATGCTGTTATTTTCCACAAGGCACATTAGACAAGAGATGTATGTTTAATATACTTGTGTTCAAAGATTTTAAAAAAAAATGTAGGTTGACTAAACATAGGTGGTGTAGTTTTAGATACAAAGTTAGTAGGGAGAGAGATTTTTTTAATGTATTTCATCAACTACCTCATAGCTACAAAAGCCAAGAGGGTGAGCTGGAGGCTTCTGGGCTGTGAGTCCTGGGGGCTGGGGACAGGCCTGGGAGGGGAAACTCACCTTCCCCCTTGGGGTGTGAGGCTTTAAAACATCATGCCAAAAAATCATTCATCTGCTTGGTTGCGTCAGTATTTAAAATGAAAGCTTCATTTAAGGTCAGGTCATTTGCAGTTACACTTTGAAGGTTGTTGTTATCTGTAATCCATAACTGGAAGTATAATTTGGAAATACTAGCTCAGACTTTATCCCACAGTCCTCAGTTTCATATGCAGTTTCTCCATTTCTGTGCAGAAGTGGGGAAATCAAATACATATCTTATACCATTCCTATACACCTTGAGTTTGTACTCAAGACAATATAAAGCCTCACCATTAATGTCCCTTACTCTTAAGGGGTTTGGTGTGTATCGGAAGGTGTGCTGTGTAGAGCTGTGACAGAGAGACAGCTCAGGGAAGAAGCCAGAAAGTGAGTTGGGACTGGGACAGCTTTTCCTCAGGGCTTAATCCCCACTTCTCTCTCCTCTGCCTTCAGTACTTGGTATCTGTCACAGACTGGTGGAAACCCTCATCTCCACATCTCTCTCCACCTCCTGGGTGCTCCTAGAGATTTGTATCTGTACTTCATGGTCCATATATACTAAGCTTCCCACATCTAAGCAGACTGAAGAATCACCCTTCTTGAACCTCTTTGGCATATTTTCCCTGTCTGGCAGCCTTCCCAGAAATAGCCTTGTAGTCCACTTGCTTATAGACTTGAAGTGATGCTCCATGTCATGGACACCAGAAGATACCAATACACCATTTCGCACGCTTCCACTGCCATTCTAGTTTACAGTTCACTTCGTCAGCAATGTAACAAAAACCAAGGGACTTTATCATAGCTTATTTATGAAATATACAACCCTGACAAAACAAAAAAAGCAATTTTGGACATTTCTCTTCGGCAGATTCTTCAATACCTTTAATTCAGTTTGAATTTAGGCTATAATCCTTGCATCATCCCTTTCACTGCATGCAGCTTGCTTCTGAGTTACTAAGCCTTCCTTCTGCAGTGTTTTTCATTCTTTTCTGATTGATCTTGCAGTTTAAGAGCACCTTAGTGCCATAAAGAAACCTGACAGTCCACATTTCCCATGCTGTAGCGTTAATGCTGTTGCAGCCATGATGGCCTACAGTGGAAGCAAAGCAATGTTTGTAGGGTTTGCTCTCATACCATTTATATTTGGCTTGTGGATTTCTTTGAGAAAAATAGGCAAGCTGTCAGCCTATAGAGTCTTATACAATTCTGTGAAGTAAGGCTCGCATGCCTTTAAATTTGTCTAAATTTGATAGGCTCTTTAGCTGTTAAAATTTACATTTAACAAGTATGTATGTTCTGGGAAAGTTTCACACCTGCAAACCCCAACTGTGCAGGTAGGTCTTCTGGGATCCACCTTTTGCTCTCCGTCAGATTCCCATAGTCCTCAGGGACCTACCCAATCATGGCTATATGTGTTACTGCTATTTCTCTTGACTTAGCACAAAGACGAAGAAACAGACTAGAATAAAAAAATATGAACAAAGGGGTAGTCTATTAAATCAGTTTCTATAAGGATTTCTCTTACTAATACATCATTAACACCCACAGGTAAGATTTACTTGCCTATGGTATTTCAAACAGGAAGAGAGAGGTTTCTATGGGAAAACGTAAATAAAATTGTAATTTTAGTTAATCATTTCTGCACCTCTTTTTACAAGAAACACGTCATGTAAATGTATCATACTGAGGTTGTTTAATGAAGAAGTATTACAAAAACTTTAATGAATTGAATGTTCTATATTTAAAATTATATTTTCATATGTCAGGTACATTAGGTAAGTACTGGAAATAAGTTTCATTTCAAAAATGAGTCATGGTTTTTGTGTATTAGCTATTAAAAAAGTTACAATTTTGACGAATGGTCACCAGGAACAGTTTTAAAATGAGCATGTACAGTGAATACACACTTATAAAATGTCTTTTCTTTCTCTTTTTCAGACCTTTATAGTATTGAATAAAGGGAAGGCAATCTTCCGATTCAGTGCCACCTCTGCCCTGTACATTTTAACTCCCTTCAATCCTCTTAGGAAAATAGCTATTAAAATTTTGGTACATTCATATCCTTTTTCAATGGTGGTTCAAAATGTTACACACTGAAATTAAGAAAACTCATAACTCTTTATATTTCATTGTAAATAAAGGTTTTTGTAGGCTGTTAATTTTATTTTTATTTTACAGTGGAAGACTTATGGTAAGATTTTATAAATACTAGAAAATACGTATATATCATATAGATGCATTTTAGCTATTCTGTTGAATTTCAATACTTCTACTGTACAAATCTGCAGATGGATTTAAGAATCCATCTTGATCAATTTTTCAGAAATGTTTCTTCAGATTTATTTTAAAATTGAATTGTTTTGCGTCCCGGATTCTTTTTTGTGCTATGAAGCCTATTCATAAAATAATTGCCCTTTTTTTTTGTTTGTTTGTTTTTTAAATGCAGCATGTGCTCACAAATTCTAGAAAAGCTCTCAGGTTTGCAAGCAAGTAGGTAGATATGCAACTGCTCAGGAACAGCTAGCTCAAGGGTATCTTTGTACCACATGGTGCGGTTGACATGCCAGAAGGATGAGATGTCACCCAAAGGGACCTGGACAAGCTGGAGAGGTGGGCCTGTGTGAACAGCATGAGTTTCAACAAGGCCAAGCGCAATGTCCTGCACCTGGGATGGGGCAGCCCCTGATATCAATACAGGCTGGGGGATGAAGGGATTGAGAGCAGCTCTGCAGAGAAGGACTAGGCGGTACTGGTGGATGAAAAGCTGAACGTGAGCCAGCAATGTGCGCTCACAGCCCAGAAGGCCAACCATATCCTGGGCTGCATCAAAAGAAGCGTGGCCAGCAGGTCGAGGGAGGTGATTCTGCCCCTCTACTCTGCTCTGGTGAGACCCCACCTGGAGCACTGCGTCCAGCTCTGGGGCCCCCAGCACAAGAAGGACATGGACCTGCTGGAGCGGGTCCAGAAGAGGGCCACAAAAATGATCGGAGGGCTGGAGCACCTCTCCTATGAGGCCAGGCAGAGAGAGTTGGGGTTGTTCAGCCTGGAGAAGAGAAGGCTGCGAGGAGACCTTATTGCGACCTGTCAGTACTTAAAGGGGGCCTATAGGAAGGATGGGGGCAATCTTTTTAGCAAGGCCTGTTGTGACAGAACAAGGAATAATGGATTTAAACTAAAGAATAGATTTAGACTAGGCATAAGAAAGAAATTTTTTACAATGAGGGTGGTGAAGCACTGGAACAGGTTGGCCAGAGAGGCAGTGGAGGCCCCATCCCTGGCAACATTCAAGGTCAGGTTGGATGGGGCTCTGAGCAACCTGATCTAGTTAAAGCTGTCCCTGCTCACTGCAGGGGGTTGGGCTAGATGACCTCCAAAGGTCCCTTCCAACCCAAAGCGTTCTATGATTCTATGATTCTATGATTTGTATTGCCTTTTAGGGGTCCTTCTGAGGCCATCCTCAAGACCAGCTTTATAGTCTGTTGTAGCAGCATGCCTGGAAGCCTGGGTCATGCATGCTGAATCTCACAGTCCCAAACCTGCCCAGCTGCACCACAAGCTTCTGCCAAATTTAATACATTGCCAGAAAGCATAGGCAGCAATCAGGCAGGTGGTTTGCAAAGCATCTGGATGTGCAGATGGTAGACAGATTGTGGGACCATAACTGATGGGATCGTGCACAAGGTAAAGTTTTAGACTGGCATATGGGATTGGTGCCTGATGTTCATAACAGGTTGATGGGAATTTCTAGCAGGTGAGGTTTTGGTCCCCTTTTCTTTCAAAACACCAGGACCGGAAAAGGTAGTCACCAAAGGAAAACTTCAGTGTGACAATAAGACTCCTAACATTGAACAGTTAGTCAAAGGCAGAAGCCTTGTTATTAGAGAATCCTCCTGGCAGAATCTTCTAGGTCTTTGGAAAAAGGAAGAAACAAGGCTGATTGCTGCTGACTCAGAAGACCTTTTCATCTGAGCTCCCTGGAAGTTAAAGCAGTGAGAGAAAGGGAGGAAGGTGTCTGAAGAGGAGTCAGGGAACATTCGGGGGCAGTAGCTAAGGGACCTGATAGAGACCTAAAGACATGGTGGTGGTGATGGTGAGAAAATGCAGCCAAATGCTGTCAGAATGAAGCCTCTAATGAATGCTCATCCATTCAAGTTATAGACTCTCATTTGCAATACCTTCCAACCCTGCATCTGTGCTAGTTGTGGGTAATGTTTTTTACTGGCATACTGGTTACTGAGTTTGGTTTTGGTTTTAAGTTCCTCCTAATTGTGTTCAAAGAGTATCCGGCAGTCAGAACAGAATCAATTCTAATAAACAAAATGCATTTCCAGTATTTTCCCTTCTAGCTATTAACTGATTGTGTGATCATGTAATTTAGCTCTATGATAGGAGGAGGTTTCCTTTCACTATATCGACTGATTTCTTTTCCAACCAGCCAACTATGGGATGGGATATTTTTGTCTTAGATATAGACGTAGGGGTGTTTTTATTTTTTTATTGTAAACATAAGAATAGATGCATAGGTTCTTTTTTTCTTTCTTTCTTTCTTTCTTTTTTTTTTAAATTCAGGATAGTACAGACACTGCAAATATGAATGTGTTTAACTAAGAACCATATAATATGTTCCATAATGTAGTTTAGATTTCAGCTGCTTATACAAGGTTAGCCACCTATAGGAAAAAGATTAGGGGATAATGTTGCTTATTATTTTTGATAATCTTCTGACTTTATTGATAAGCTCTACTGCCCTCATGTTTTGAGGTGAGTGTTTGACATTTGGGCCTTTGTAACAGAACTGTGCCTTTCATTTTCAGTGTGAATGATGTGTGTTGAGCACAAAGAAATTGGCACATTACTTGGAAAACCTTCATCTGTACATCCACCAATTTCTCTGAACCTCTGTATAGAGCGCTCTGATCACATGTGCCCAGACAAGTGGTCAGATGTTGTTCCTCTTGCAAAGAAACAGAACATGTCTCTTTCCAGTGCTCAGAGACTTTCCCTGCAATTACTCTTCCTCACTGCCGGTACCTATTGTAATACCAGATACAGGAACTGGTAACAGCATGAATTTCTCTCTCTCATGCTCTGCTGACTCACCTCCTGGTATTCTGTCTTTTTTTTTTTTTTTTTTCCTTTCCCTTTTGCCTGCTTGACTCCAGTTAAGGTAGAGTGTGGAACTGAGGGGGCAACACAAGAGTGACAGGAGATGGCCAGACTTTGCAAATAAATAGGAAAGGATGAAAAGGTAAGAACAGGTGGGGGTTGAGCAGACAAAAAAAAAGAGGTGGCAGTGGCTGGAGCTGCAGAGTGCAAGGAGTGTTAGAAAGGAACAGGGAGATGCTCTAGAGAAAATGTCGTACCTGCTAAGTACCCCTGTGCTAGCCTTTGCAAACTGAAATGACAGCGTTACTCAGTGTGGCCTGACTGCCAGCAGGTATCTGTGAAACCAGGTGGTGATGTTTGTTTTTTCCAACCTTCATCTTCCACCAAGTCCACGCAGACGGTAAGAGACTTCGGCTGCTCCGGTAATTGAGTAGCTTGAGGCTGTATAATGCCTCTAACACTACTGCTTGCCTATATGGGAAGAGCATGAAAAAGACAGGACATTTCCATGAAGAAGTCATCATATATCAGAATTGTTTACCTATGTGTATAGTTGAATTATTATAGAACATAAAATAGTAAATTAAAGGAATGTTGAGGTTGTAAACTGAATACTCGAAGAAGGAAGAGAGGCACAGACATTGAATATGTCAGTTTTGTTTGATATTCCCATAAAGGAAAGCATGGCCAGAGTTTAGAATTCAAAGTATGTTAGCCCTTATTGAGCATCTGCTCCCTTTGAGAGCGAACAGCACTTTGGCCATGCAGCTCACAGACGTGGCGAGTTATGTACAGAGTGAGCAATGTGCGAGGATCTACCTGTGGCCTTTGTTATGAATGATACCTAGCTGTAAACACATAATACACTGCATAGGGATAAAACCTCAGCTCTCCTAAGAGGACATTCCACTTCTTTAACTTTTGTGAGACTACTGAAGCTGCAGCCAGGCAACTCCAAGTTTTTCAACTACCGAAATAGATTCTGTTTATTTAAAGGAATTTCCCAATTGTATTGTCAGACTTTTTAGACCTGTCTGCGGACTGTGAGGACAAGCATTGTAAGGCATTCTAATCACTTATTCTAGGCCACTGAACAATTATTTTAACTGTACAGAGCTTGTATGATAACAAGATCTTCAAAACAAGTTAAGTCCCTTTAATGAAAGATATCACAATATTCATTGCGTGGTCAGGCATTTAGATAGAGGTCACCCACTTGATGGGAATCAGGCAACTAAATCCTTCCCTGTGCTTTGAATGTTTACTTGAAAATATATGCTCAAGCTTTAATTGTTCAGCAGCTGTAAGTGATGATCTTAATGTTTGCACCAATTTTTCTGCAAAGTTTAGGCTGAGATGTTACTCCTCATATTTGCCCTTCGCCTAGAGTGAAAAGGGTTTGGGTTAGGTGGTTTGTTTTTTTTTCTTTTTTTTTTTTTGTCCATGGCATAAAAATATACCCCAAACAACAAAATGCTATCTACTTGGTTTAAAAAAAAAAAAAAAAAAAAAAAATTAAAAATCCTGGGCTCTTATATACAAGTTTATCTGTGAATGGATTTCTTCAGTTTAAGCTAGCTTCTTTGCCAGTTATGTTGATGCAACTATTTTTAAGGAACACATCATTTAGAGAGATGGATGACTGGAGGAAAAATCAGTTGCGTTAACAACTTGGCATAAAGGTGTAGCCGTTCTGATTTTTTGCTGCCATCATGTGGCCATTTTGAGTCAGGTTTTGGTCTAGTTTGGTTACTTCACTATTTCCAAATGTTTGAATAATTGAGTTTACTTGATTGCCACGAAAAGAGAAGGACCACACTGTTTGTAAAGCCAGTGATCTTGTAAACCAAGAACATCACGCTGGGTGTAATGAAGCCCCAGTAGACTGTCCCACCTCCCTACCACAAACCCCTTTGAGCTGTTAGTCTGGATTTTGTAGTCCCAGAATACATAATTGTTCCTTGCTGGATTTTAAAATTAAAAATAATTTTCATTCTAAGCTTTAGCAGTTTTCCATGCTTTTCAAGCAATTGACCACAAGGTACTATTGAACCATTTTCAAATTATAGCACTGGTAGAACAAGAGATGCTTCTTTTGCTCTTAATGTGTTTTGAGAGAGCCTGAAAATGATATTGGAAGATTATTCACCTTAATCTGTGAGCTCTCTGTGGATTTCTGTTTCACTGACTGAAGCATGTACTGCTAAGCTAGTGATAGGGAAACAGGGAATACAGTCACTTCAGCAATTAAAAACAGTATTCTGTGTTTTTGACAGACTGGCTGTGCTGGGTGCTGGGGTGGTGTGTGCTTTCTCTGTAGCTCTGACTCATGGTAAATAGGATAAACTTTTTTTACCTTACATATGCCAGCTGTTGAGTTTGGTACCAAAACTGTAGAAGTGACAGACTAATGGTTATTCAGTCATGTCAGGTATTTAAGTAAAACAGTGTTCTTCTGCAAGTTATTTTGGTTTTGGCTGTTACTCAGCTCATGTTACCTCCCAGGCGTGTGAGAGCTGTTTCCTTCACCTATCAGTAACAGATGAAAACAAAACATGAGGACATAAACAAATCAACACCAGAATATCAACAAATCATGACTAATATTAAAGTTTAATGTGCTAAAGTGAAAACTACCAGGTTAAGCAAAATATGTATGTAATGGTTACTAAAGTCTAGAAGATTTGTTTAAGTGGCAATATTTTACTGTACTTAAGATACATGGCTGATGTGGTATTGTATGAATTACTATTGTGTTTTCCTTAACAATGTGTACATTATTCAGCATGCTTATCATGTGCACTATTTTGACCAACTGTGTATTTATGACCATGAGTAACCCTCCGGACTGGACAAAGAATGTAGAGTAAGTTGCGTATGTTATTTAAAGATATCTTTGACTGTTCCTCTAGGAGTCAGCATGCCAGTAACTGCAGTCATGTGTGCTGGCAGGAACTATCATGGATGCTACTACTATTTCCTCTCTAAACTATGTAGAAATGTTGAATAAGTATTTAAATATCCTTCTAGTAGAATGATTGGATAGAAAAAAATGAAAGTTGTTTACAGATAGTATTCTACTGAGATTCCACTAGTTTTCTCTCATATTCATGGTTTAGCATCTACCCAATGTTTTTACCCCTCCTTTACGCCACTGCATTAATAGCAGAACCATGGCCATCTATTTGTACACATCAGTTAAGGACAGCATATAAGCATATAAGTGTTCCTAAAGTGACAATTCAGTGCATGCTTGCATTCTTCCCTTTTTAGAGACAATACTAGATGTTTTGGATATTAGTGATTCAGATGGTATCCAGTAACTTACGCTCACAACTTTCTTGGTTAACAGTAATGGATCTAGTGTTGCATACTTTTAAACTGAGTGTCACCAATAATTTTTTAATGTATGTCACTTATTTGATGGATTTATTTATTTTCATTTATGTACAGCAGGACTGCTGTACTTCAACAGCATGTCACAACTCATGCATGTAAATACACAAGTATATATGATGAATATAATGCATTTTTAGAAGAAATTGCTTATTTAATGCATTTCTTTTCCAGTTTTGAAATAAAAAGCTCTTTCATTTGATCATTGGGTTTCTATCAGAATACCAATGTACAGCGTTGATACTTATTTTGATTACATTTTCCCATATTTTCCAGGTATACGTTCACGGGAATTTACACATTTGAGTCACTCATAAAAATCATTGCAAGGGGCTTTTGCTTAGAAGATTTTACTTTTCTTCGAGATCCATGGAACTGGCTTGATTTCACTGTCATTACCTTTGCGTAAGTTTTTGTTTTTTGCTTTTTCTTTGAAAGTGAAGGGCAAAAAGGGCATGAAATTAGTATCGATACATACCAATTTTGTCAAATGGAAATTCTTGTATAGATTTACTTTTGTCTAAAACAATTTTCACATTCTAACATGCATATTTTGATGTAAACATAAATACTGCAGAAGCCGTTAGTACAGCTAGTATTAGAGAGGCTAATTTCATGTCCTGCATTTTTTTCTCTGAGCAGAAAAGGAGCATCCCTTTGACTTCATTCTCCAAACTTACCGATCTAGTCTAGATAAATTTTAGGCTTTCAAAGTTAAATCACTGAGATTCACTTCAGAGACATTTAATTTAACTGAAGGCTCTGAAAGCATATTAATGCAAGGCAAACTGCAGTGAAAGGTAAACCTCTGACTGTTGCTATTTCATTTTTTGCTAAAAACGCCAAAGCGGTCTTGATGAAAGACCCAAGTAAGTAGCATAAACTTTGCCTAAATTCTGAATAACTGTGATTTAATCCTACAGGTATGTAACAGAATTTGTAAACCTAGGCAATGTTTCAGCTCTTCGAACTTTCAGAGTATTGAGAGCTTTGAAAACTATTTCTGTAATCCCAGGTAAGAAGTAACTGGTGTAAGGTGTTAGGCCCCTTGTACCTCCCAACTGTTCCTTTTTATCCTGTCATTGTGTTTGTGTGTGAACTCCCCTATTACAGATATGTGACAGAGTTTGTGGACCTGGGCAATGTCTCAGCGTTGAGAACATTCAGAGTTCTCCGAGCTTTGAAAACAATATCAGTCATTCCAGGTGAGAGCTAGGTTAAACACTGAGGCTGAATTTAATTCACTGAAATGGAATTAATATTTTTTTAAACACAAGTCTTATTTCTTTCCACAAAAAAGCAGGAATCGGAAGATGTTAGAATTCACTGAAATCTCTGATTCATTGCTTTTTAACATGAGCTCTTTCCTTTTGAAATCAGCCTTTGAGTTTAACAGATTCTTGCATGAGACATTGCAGTACACAGCGTGTGTGGTTTGCATCGTATGATGTCAAGCTTTCTTCTCCACATTCAACGAATATCAGTAACCCTGAAGTTTTCTTACCCATGTGTATCTTACCTACATGATGTTGTGTGGTATTTGTTGTGAATATTTGTGTCTAAAAAAATAAAACTGTTTGAAATGTTGACTTAGTAAGAAGATGAAGGAATAAGATAATAAAGAATAGCATGGGCATTGCATGGGGGATTTATTATCTTAAAATTCTACAATTTTCCAAACCATCTCCAGTTTTATAGCATTAAATTTTAATCCTATTTATTGTTGAACAGGCTTTTTACTACTGTCTTCTAAATCTAGTATGTTATAAAACTGATAGTAGCAAAGGTTTGGGGCAGGAGGTATTGACAAATGAAAAGAAAGAAGACTTTTATGTGACATTCATGTACAGCATGAATTTGAAAAGTCACTTGTTTTAGCATTAAAACAAGTGTTTTGAAGTATATGCAACTCATTCCATTCACAGTTTCAAAGAACATAAATTTCAGCTATTTATTCATTTTCACAAATGAAAAAGCTCTTCACAAAAATGTTATTTCACAGACATTACAGTCATTTATTTGGGCTTCTGCATGAAATCTATAACTTTACTGGGAGACACTGTCATTTTTATGCCTTAAAAAAGTTTTGAACATAAGAATAAAAATTCCTTTGCATTTGCAGGCTTGAAGACTATTGTGGGAGCCCTAATTCAATCTGTGAAGAAGCTCTCGGATGTTATGATCCTGACTGTGTTTTGTCTGAGTGTATTTGCACTAATAGGACTGCAGCTGTTCATGGGCAACTTGAGGAATAAATGCCTGCAGTGGCCTCCAGAAAATTTTACTCTGGAAACAAATATTACTTCCCAGCTAAACAGCGCCATAGGTGAAAATGGTACATTGGTTAATTCAACAGTGACTCCATTTGACTGGAAGGGGTACATTGAAGATGAAAGTAAGTATTGTCAGCGTAATTCTTATTGAAGTGATTTGTGGCTGATCCAGTTCTTAGAAATAAGGAGGGGAAGGGATGGTACATTTAGTTAAGATGGAGCAGAAGAAACGTCTTCTCTCTCACATAGATCTGCTCCAAAGGCTGGCATGGAAGAGGGAACAAGGAACATGGTCTCTGTACTTGATAGAGCTCTTTTTCTCAGCTCTCTCTGCCAAATCCGAATCTCCCCTGAGACAGAAAGAGGTCCAAAGGAGTTCTTAAAATTACTTAAACGTTTTCCATTCCCATACTCCAAAGCAAGATCAGCAACAGACTGCTGTGTCATTTCTGACAGATGTCAGAGACTTCTGACATTCAGTGAGGACTCCAGTGATGGAGTCCTCAGTATTTTCACCATCTATCCCTTCTTGTGCTTCACTACCCTTATTATTAGAGAGGGTTTTTTTTAAGGTCTAACAAATTTTCCTGCTGCAATTTCAGCTCATTGTTCCTATCAACTTCACCACAGGCATCAAAGCCAGATTATTCCCTATCATTAATCACTGTCTCTGAGGTATTTAGAGACTATTCCTATGCTGCTGTGCCCTGTTCTCTCCTCTTTCAGTCTTCTTTTTGTACACTGAGCAACCCAGATCATTAACCTTTTTCTCCTACAATTTATTTTCTAGATCTTGATCTCTCATCTGGACCCTTTCTTGTTCGTAAACATCCTTCTTAATGTGCAGTACCCACATCTAGGCATTTCTCCTCCCCATGAGGTGTACTAAGTAGAAAAGGATTATGTGATAGCATAGTAACTTATATTCCTGTTTTATATATATTAGGCTAGGACTTGCTGTTGCTTACAATTGTAACATTGTTAAATCCTGTTCAGCTTGTGGTCTGTCTGCCTCCTGAATCTTTTACAGACTTTTACCTCGTTGAGTTCCCACTTTGTATTTGCACAGTTCATTGTTCCAACCTGAATAACACCCTTTTTTTCAGTCCATCTCTCCAACTGTCCTGAATCTTTTAAATTGTAATTATTTCCTCAAACTCACCACCACCCTTATCAGATCAGTATCATTTACAAATTTGATAAGCATTCTTCCATCATCTAGATTAGTTAAAACCTTGACTAGCAGCAATCTTACACAAACCTCTTCAGAAGTTGTTCTGACGCATCCTTCCATTTTGATAATTTCCCAAAGTATCATTTTTCCAACCAGTTTTGCTGATACAGAGCAGTCTGGCAAACAGAGAATAGATAAAGAAATGCATTTCAGTACAGTTAGATGTGAGGTTACAAACCTAAGCTCCCTATCCTAAAAATCAATGCTGCACAATTCATGGTGAGACGGGTTCATGTGCATAAAGACTGCAGCTGATGGCATACATCATCTCTAACAGTGGAAGTTACTTTTGGAGAAAAATAAGAACTAAAGGGGAGAGAAAGAAAGAAAAGGGAAGGGGAAATGGAAGACTGACCACAGTAGCCAGCTGCGAAGTGGTGGGGTCCCCAGGTGAGTCTCCTCCCCTGGGTATCCTTTCCAGTGCAGCAGTGATCACTCCATAATACTTTTCCCATAGCAACCATGTATTTTTCATTAGCATCTCCTCAAACTCCGTACAGGTTGTTCCTGCTTACAGCGCTATTAGAGCTAATTGGAATGCACTTTGATTGGGGTGGGTGCTGCATGGCCGGTTGGTTTTTAAGCTCGTACATGCATGTTACTAGGTTATCTAATATAAACAAAAAGCTACAAGCAAGGAGTAGGAAAAAGGGGGAGAATGAGGGGTGAAACTCACACCAGAGGTAATTGCTTCCCATGAGTATCTGCTGCAACAATAATGTGTTTGCAAGTGTAACATCATGAGAATAACAGCAACGTTAAAAACAGCATGAGAACAAAGGAAAAACAATGCCACAGAGGCTCTGGAAAACATTGCCACAGCAACTTACATGAAAGGTTGCAGAGCTGCAAATGAGAGGCAGAATATAGAAATGCAACTGGAAAGCCCTTAGCAATAGAGAGGCTGAGGCGCCTAAGGCACTATGGAGCCGCCAGGACTCTGACAAATTAAGGCTAAAACTCTGCAGCCAAAAAGCTAAACAGTATCCTGTTCGCATAAATAAATGATTGACCAGGAATGCAGTATTACCCCTGTATTTAGCACTACTGCAGTTGCTACTGGAATACTATATAAAGTTCAATTTAGATAGGATGTTGAAAAATTGGAGGATGTTCAGAAAAGAGCAGAATGATTAAAGGGTTGGAAAACGTGCTTTATATGAAGGTAGACCAGGAGCTCAACATACTTAGCATATCAAAGAGAAGGTTTAAGGGGTGATTTGATCACAGTTGAGCAAAACCTCATGGGGAACAGAAATTTCATCATAGACATACCTTTGATCTAGCAGGCAAAGATATAACAGGTTCAATAGCTGCACGTCAAAGCCAGACAAATTTCAAATAGAGGTAAGACAGCTTCTAACGTGATCACACAGCTGATCAATGGATTTCCACCTAAATTTCTTAAACCAAGACTTTTATGAAACCCACTTTACTTGAACATGTGAAGTCATGGTGATTCCATGCCACAGGGTATAACAAAGTCTAAGCAAAGTCTCCTAACGAAGACCTAGACTTCAAGGTCAAACTTAATTTTCTGGCTTTTTAATCAAGAATCTATAAACTCACGCTCTGATTTAATCTGATTTAAAGAAGACCTGAAGCCCCTTGAAAAACAAAGCTGAATTGAATTAGTTACAGCAAATACTTTACTGAATGGCTACTTGACTCTTCGGTGTATTTACACAGGATTTTGTATGTTTTATGAAAATTGTAATGAAATTATGAGTCGTCTTATAAAGTTAATAAGCTTGTCCTTGCTTACCAGCAGTTGCAAAGAGAAAAATTATCTTCTCACAGTTTCCTGCTCTCTTATTCCAAGTGGGCAGACAGGATACAGAAATGGTTCTTAAACCAGCTGTGTCACAGGGCAATAAGAAGGGACTTACCTGGACCTCAGAGCAGTACAATGGCACTGTCTTTTTTAGGAATTTAAGAAGTTTTTCTGCCAATAGTTGTGTATACTATGCCAAAAAAGGCATGTAAGCCCTAATTTTGCCACTGAGCTCCTTTTTGGAAATACCATTTAGAGAAACTTGATGTAAGCAGTCCTGGCATTAATGAGTCAAACACTCTTTTCTTTTTTCCTTGTTCTTTTTCCAACATAGCAAATCTGATAAAATTGATGCTAGATGAGTTTAAGTTTATCTTGGCAAGCTTGCCATAAGCAAATTTTTCTGGGAAATAACATCTCACAATCTATTTTGTGAAATAACAGTTATTCTCAGTCATTACCCTAGGTTTATCCAAACAACTGTAAATTCCTTTGAAGTAAAGTGCTCACCTACCAGAGGTTTTTTCCCATTTCCCAATCAAATAAAGGGGAGCCAAACATATACCTTTGATATAGTGAGGGACTTGTCACGCTACTTTGGTAAAATACAATTCAGAGTTTTGCATCTAGTTAGGGACACATGCTTATACCGCTCAGTTTGTGTTATAAAAATTTTCCTATCACGACAATATTTTGAGCATCTGTCATGGTTGTATCAGTGCACTCGGAGAAAGCCTGGCTGTCTATTATTCCCTGTGGAGCTGGCAAGTACAGCGTGCTTGCAGAGTACATCTTATCTGAACCACAGAACTTGAACACAGACCCTATTTTAGCGGTTCA